TATATTGAAAGGAAAGGTGCAAGGGAATGATTGTGTTTTGAACCATTTCTCACGAGATGTGAGAATTGTTTTTCCACCCAAACGATAGGTTCACCCACCCCGGAGCTCCTTTTCCCTAGGCTTAGGCAGAGTCCTCATTTTCAGGCCCACAATAGTTCCCCCTCATCTTCCAGCAATAAATGCAATCCAACGTTGAGGGTCGTAAAATTGGCATGTGAATGAAAATGGTACTATTCTGCTCCGCAGGAAATTACAGGACGCTACGTCTGTAGACGGGAAATTACAGGATGCCCACCTACCCCCTACCCCCTTTTAAGCGAATTCCTGTTTGCGTCTAGTTTAATGTTTCATTCGTCAAAGGCCGTCAAAGGCTTGCGCGTCAGGCCTATCCATGACTCGGCGGCTTTTATTCGGCACTTACCGAACAGCTAGCTCATTTGTGGGAGTTTGTGCAGGTGATGTTACAGCAACGGATTAGATACGTATTGATCCGAATTGAAGATCCATGTGGCTTTGTGGTATAATGGGAAGGTATTGCCCTGAGCAAGGCTGAGAAGTTCTGGGTTCCTCAGTCGACGGAAAGGGTTTTCCTAGAAAGCGAAAACTTTTTGTAGAGCTCGTATGATGGAATGCTGCGAAAAACGTCAGCTGAGAACGTGTTCATACTTCGCGATCCGACCGCTCGGATTGCTCGATCGTATTGCGCAGTATGAACGCCCACTAACTGAGCGCATCATCAAAATATGTGAGAGTGTTTCAGGTGAAGCGTGAAATTGGCGAGGGATCCTTCAGTGTCGTTTATTCAGCCACTGAGAAAGCTGATCTCCATAGAGAAGTCGCGATTAAGATGTGCTTCAAAAAACAAATTTTAAAGGAGAAGAGGGTTGGTGTTTTGAATTCAGCATCATGATATGCGGAGTATTTCAACGAACAATCCTACAACTATATGCAATATAAATCTTTAAACATTAAGGTGGCTTCTGTCCATCGTGAGAAGTATGTCCTTGCTCGGCTGTCCGACAATGAACATCAGCATCCTTTTATAGTCGGTTTGTACGCCACATTCCAGGACCGGGACCATCTGTACTTTGTACTATCGTACGCCAAGTGTGAGTTTGTTTTTCGCTCGTATTTTGAACCCCAATTTTGAAAAGATTGGTTTGTGCTCATTTTGAAATG